AGTGTCAAACTAGATGTACACCTAGCATTACTTTTAGTAGATTGTGATATAAGTTTTTGAAATGTGTGGTTGAAAAGTTGTGGGACTCATAAAAGATGTTGTTAATATTTATTGTTTGACTTTGACTTAAATCTGATTTTAATCTAAAACAAACAAGGCCTTAAGTTTTTGGAAATTTTTACCTTTATTTCATTCCTTGCCAGAATTGAGTGAAATTATGGGTGCAATTAATTGTTGAGTGAGTGCGTCTCAGTCCAGCATTACTCAAGTCTTTTCAGCAATTTTCTCTTCTTTTAGAAAGACGCCTTTATGTAATAACTCGAATTAAAAAGGGTTGAAATTTTCAAACAAAGAGATTATCTGGACAATCATGACAACATTGAGTCGGTGGATACGACGAGTTAGTCATCATCATTTAATGAGTTGGCCAATATGACGAAACGAGTTAATAAGTAGATACACAACATGAGTTGGTCCACAGAGAGTACTATCCCTTTAATTGGATTTGGATGTAATAATTTAAAATTTTGTATTTTAATTGTGTTAATCTTGGATACCAGAACTAGATTGGAACATTTTCATGCATTTGGACAATGTCTTTATGGCCTCTGTTTTCATTGCAGATTTTATTTTACATTACGAGCCCAACTGGAACAGAGAAATGAGGATACAGGCCAAAATTTTTGTATTTACTAGATTTTATAGAAGTTGATGAAATGTATGGTTGAAAGTTGATAAAAATTGTGGATATCATGAAACGTGTGGTTGAAATGAGTTTGGAAAAATGAGTTAAAATGGAGGTCAAACAAGGGCAAAATGTATTGCCAAAATTGATGCATATTAGTTTCGACTATCAGTTTCACGTTGAACATTATTGTATGGTCAACAGTGTGAAAAAATCTCTCTGTTATTGCAGCATGAAGAGAACACTTTCGAGATACAACAGGAGCCGGGGTCCACTAGAGGTGCCCGTACCAGCATTCGAGCCAGAGGTGTTCTATATTCTTTTTGGCTAGTTGTTAATTTGCAGTAGGCTTGCTCCCTTGCCTCCATTCTCTGTCCCTAAATCTAAACTTCCTGCTGAATTTGGGACTAAATGAAATTTTTACGAGGTTTTCACTTAATAACAACAACTTCTGATGATTTTATTAAAAATACATGATGATCAACTTGTTGGGCTCTCAGTTGAATACGATTAAGAAAATTTGACTACCTGAGTATTTGATTACGTAGCTTTGAGATGCCTTATACCCTTTTATATGTTCGTTAGAGTGGTTACTTCTTGGTCACTTCTACGTAAATGACGATGTTCTATCGATTTTAATCTTTGCTAATAAAAACTTTCTTTTCCCCCTCTTATTTATCCTGAAACAGGAACCCAAGGAGATGGACTTGCTCAAGCTGGAAATAACGAAACTTGCATCAAAGCAAATGTATGATTTTCTTAGTAAACTGAATGTCGATTACTAAACATTTTTTCCAAATGTGATGGTTTTTTAATTAACTTTCCGCTGTATTGTTTAGGCAATTGTTGGGTAAAGACCACACAGAGATGAGTGTACAAGAACTTGGTGCTCTCGAACAACAACTCAATGAAGGGTTGTTAAGCATAAAGGAGACGAAGGTTAAGGCTTTTCTTCCTCTTTCAGTTGTATGACATGGTTAATTAGTTCTTACATAGGAAATTCAGAGTGCAATCGACCATACATATTTAAGCTCTTAAGAGACTTCAGGGTTGTAATAGAATGTTCTTCATTTTCAGGAGCAACTATTGCAGCAACAACTATCACAATCGAAACTGCTGGTATGCGAAGTCCATGACTTTTATCTAGTTTGACCATTCTATATAGGTGGGACTAGAATATCTGAGTACTAGAAAGCCAATCATATCCGGTTATGAAAAATTGGAATAAATGAATTAGATCATGTACCGGATGGAATTATGAACTTGATAATGGAATTGGGCACGAGAATATTTTGACACAAGTTTCTGTACAAAAAGTATCTAATTTACTTTCCTATGCAGGCAAAACAGGCTATTCTGGAAAA